TTTCCTTTTCGGTTGTATAAACATTTTCTTCCGGATCCCAACCAGAGACCTAAGGTCAGAAATGCCTTCATGGTATTTTCAGTGGTCTTTTTTGTAAAAAAACTACAAAACAAAAATAAGATCATACACACTTTAAATAGATCGATGTCTTCGTAATGTGTGAACTGTATATGTGAGTACAATTGTTTGTATTCTTTAAAACATGGACGACCAGGAATCCCTTCCAATGAGTTTATCCAAAATTTTCCAACCAATCCGAGATTGGAAAAGGTTCTGATTGAGTCATTGACATGACGATTATTATTACTGTTGTTATTACTGTTATTGTTATTATTATTATTATTGTTATTATTATCTTCTTTTGTATCTGTTTATCACAATCCTTCACGGAAATCTATGGTAAGGTCGTTAATATACATTCGGATAATACTTACAGTGTTTATATTTTCTTTAGCTGGATAATACTTTCCTGAGTAAATGAACAATTCCACATGGTAACATTTCTTAAACATGAACTGCAAGGGATTTTTTTATCGTTCTTGCCTTTATCTTTTTTTAATCAATCTTAAGGCTCTAATAATTATATGTATAACAATAGTTTTAAGACAACACATTTTTTAATTCCAATTTCAGGGTTTACTTATTTCGACATTTTCTTGAACAGATATATATATATATATAAGTGGAGCATGTTGAAAATTTGTGTAAAAGTTTTAAAATTAATAATTCCATATTTTTTAACAAAGTGTTCAAGGGTATAATTGCAAGAAATCACTGCAAAGCAATTCTTACAACATTTGGTTGTTTGAAAACTTCTATAATTTACATAGGGAAAAACATTTCGTGAGATGTATGAGGGATCCATGAATGTGATTTTTTGTAATTCACTTGTTTTGAAACTGCCAGAAAATTGTACTCCATATTTGTTTTCATCTTATGATAACATTACAGTAAACCAAGGACAACACGGACTATAGTTGTTTTATGATATCACATTCTACAAATTTCTCTCTCAAGATCCTTGTATTTGCTTTGTTTTTCAAATGTATTTAGATATGTATTTTTTCAGCTGAGATTATCACGTCTTTGAGATATCATAATGAGTCTCTGATTAGAAGGAAAATTGTTGCGGTTTGTACGATACTTAATTTATGTAGAAACCGCTTGAAGTTTAATTTAATCAAATATTACTATTATCACCATTATTATTATTATTATTATTATTATTATTATTATTATTATTATTGTTATTATTGTAGAAGGTAAAACGGCTTGCGTCTCGGAACAAGAGGCGCTCGTGTGTGTCTTGCTTGCAAAATATTAGACAGAAAATACGGCCGATCCAAAAGCTGCCATTTAAGACCAACTCTTTCACGGAGCTTAGAGATTTTGTGAGAGGAAAACGATGATGAGAACGCTGACGAGTCGAGTGGTCTTTGTGTGTGAAGTTTCTCGTTAGTCTCACCGATTGTGATTTGTAACCTAAACTACGTGAAAAACGAGTTGCTTTCCTGGAGAGCCTTTGTCTCTCAGGATTACCCCCAACCACCACTAAGGATTTTTGCCAGTCACTCGAATTTAAATTACAATCACCACCACCATATTCAGTTTTATAATCGATATTAGATAGGTTTTTCCATTATGTTTGATTTATATTTCATGTTCTTTATGTCTTTTTAGAAATTCCTTTCAGTATCTTGAAAATTACGTTTTTTATCTTTTGGGGAATTATGAATTTACAGTCGTTTCATGGGGCAGTTTATTTACACTGCTAAATGATTTACTTTGAGACAATATTAGTTAACTAAAATGTTATCACATTTCATCCATTAACCATCGAGGTCAGACAAACAGACATTGGAACAATAGTTCTTGCAGACTGTCAGTGGATCAATTGCCGGCAATAAGCCATTCATAGTGGATTTATGACTATTATTTCTAGCTCCAATCCGTTGTGAGTGTTGGGGTTTTGAGGACGCAGAATTGTTGCAACTATTGATCGAGTAATCAGTTGTATCTTCTATTAGCCAACAAATGTCTTGGTGAAATGAGAAGTGTGTTTATATAATCTGTAATATGGTTTTGTCATATTTACATTTATATTATATTTCTTTTTATAGCATAGGAAATGAGATGCTGCTTCATTATTCTTTCTCATTAACATAATTGGCGCACGCACAAACACATACATATACACCAATTATAAAAAAAACCAAGAATGATGCCATAAATGTATATAAAAATAATATTTTAACGTCAATTTCAAACATACAAATGTACAAGTAATTAAGGCAAACTTTTCCCCAAATATTTCTCTTTAGTAAATTTAAATTACTTACTTTCCTGTAAATATATTTTATACAAGTATATACATAGATAATATTAAGTAGATGAATCAATAAATCCATAGCAACAGCATGACACGAATTTTTATATAATTCTTATCTTTTCATTGTTAGTTAGTAAATATTTATTAAATAGATCATTATACAATGAAAATTTCTGATCAATATTCAGTCTGTGGAAATACTGATACACATATATATATATATATATATATATATATATATATATATATATATATATATATATACAGAAAGAGAAAGGGCGCTGTAGCGTAATGGATCGCAGCATTGGGGAGCCAAATTGAATTCCAGATGAGTTCATTACGTTCACTTATGTGTTAATTACCTTGGGAAATGTATGAATCTATCTCTTCTCCCCGCCATCTATGAGTAAATAGCAGGAAAGATAGAGTTTTATAGCCTTGGGTGGCTACCAGTCTTGGAGAAGGAAAAATGTGCATTCAATCCAGCCTGGAGAGGGCTGTGCTTCGTCAAGTTATCTTGCCCAAGACACATCACTGCTACTGTGGCTGATGCACATGTATTACCCATACAGCCCTCATAGATTACGGGACTCGTGATCGTGACCGATCGAATATATATAGACATATATACATACACACACGCACACACACGTCAAAGAGAACCTTCCCTATTCACAAGCACTTAGACTCAGAAGGATATGTTCCAACAATGAAGAATTAAATAAACACATTGAAAATCTGGAGCATTAATTCACGACACGTGGCTATAAACAACACCTAATCAGGGAACAAATAAATAAAGCAATTTCCACACCTAGAGAAGACACCCTAATGTACAAGATTAAAAATAAATCTAGCCGCATCCCTCTAGTAACCACTTTCAATCCCACTCTGCCTCCACTATCCCAAATAATCAAACGTCGCTGGGAAATACTACATCTCAAACCAGACCTAAAAAAACTGTTTAAGGAACCCGGCATTCTTGCATATCGTAGACCTAAGAACCTAAAAGAAATCATAGGTAGTAACCACATTTCAGGGGACAAGGTAATCCGTAATGAACTAAGAACAAAAACAACAGGATTTTCCCAACCATGTAACAACAAAAGAAGTTTATGCCGCAACCATATTAAAAACACGAATTCATTCACTACCTCAATCACTAAATCTACTTTCAAAATCTACCACGATTCTAACTGTAGAAGTCATAACATAATTTATCTCCTAGAATGCACACTATGCAAGAAACAATATGTAGGAAAATCTGAATGGCCCTTTCACTACAGAATTAATAATTATCGTAAGCGAATTAAATCGACTCCCCATTAAAAATTATTACCTGTAGAACAACATTTCCGCCTGGAAAAACATGATTTCAAAACCCATGCCAAATTCACTATAATTGAGAGAATAGAAAAGTTCAGAGCAGATAACATTAGAAAGATTTTAGAGTCCCATGAAAATAAGTGGATACAACGTCTAAAAACACAATATCCAGCCGGGCTAAATCATAAATTTAACAATATATAGATAGTCAACAAATCAAAACCTACCTACACTTCTCCCACACAAGACAGACATGCTTACGGAGGTGTGGAGGCCTCACACTTATACACACACCCACACGAATATACACACTTACACACATCATACGCACTCACTCCCTAAGGAGCCAAATGATAACACACACCTACAGCAATACACACGCTTACACATATCATACTCACTCACTCCCTAAGAACCAAGTAACACACACACACAAACACTAAACAGAGACACATCCCCTCACCAGGTCCAATAAAACTGTCAAACTGACCAGAGAATTCAGAATAATATGTATCTATCCAGCTCTTATCTCAAATAACAACTTAAAAGAGACTGTTTGACCAAGACAAGGAATGTTAAAAGATTCATGTTAAAAAGATAAGAAAATAAAAAATAAAAAAACAAATGAAAACTACAGACAAAAGTTCATTTTCTCCATCAAGACATTCATTTCTGTAGTTCACTGCTACCAGCAAGCAGAAATATTTCTCCTCCCGATGATGGCCATTTCGGTCGAAACTAGTCGATGGAATAATAATAAAAAAAACGAAAGAATATTAATCTACAACCCAGTGTGTCCAAAGATTTTATTTTTTTATTTTCTTATTGTTCAATATATATATATATATATATATATATGCATGCATGCATGCGTGAATGTGTTTCTTAGGGAGTGTTTGTGTCTATTCTGAACTGTTTTAAGCTGATCCTATCAACCGATATCTATCCTGCCTATCCACATCATATGAACTATTTACTTCTTCTTTAACCTCATTCTGTTCTCATAGTAACCTCGCGCATTAACACTCTCTTGAGTGATTCTTGGGCTTTTTATTGGATGAACAAAAGTAAACAGCGGAAAAAAATCGAATGTCACGTTTAGCATGCTAGGCATAAAATCTTCCCATTGTATTATTATTATTATTATTAGTAGTAGTAGTAGTAGTAGTAGTAGTATTAGTAGTAATAATATATTACAGCCTCTTTAATAGAGAAGACACCTTAAAATATATTACTATTTAATCAAATAAGATATTAGTTTCAGATATTTTTTATATAAGAATGTTCAGTGTAAATATTTTACATGTAACTATCAGTTTTTCGAGGTTTACGTACTCAACAATGCATGATTTTTCCCTGGCCGCCTTTCATCTTTGGAGGTCAATCCGTGTGTTTCTGTCTTCTCTCTCTCTCTCTCTCTCTCTCTATCTATCTATCTATCTATCTATCTATCTATCTCTCTCTCTCTCTCTTATTGTTCAATCGTGAACGGTAAGCTTTATGACTGAAAACCTAGCTGACAAATATTAATATTACGCTGATCGGATGACATCCAGGAGCAGAAGCCAAGCTATGGTTTTATTCTTACAGGTGAATTTTAGCCGTAATGTTTCGGGGACAATGACGGATGGTCGAAATATTTTGGGATATGTCGTCAATTCTACGAAATTCTGCCTTTGGTTATAGAGTTGTATTGTAGTAGGAACACAAGTCCGAGATTAGGCAACAAGAACAGAAGTATTAGATCGTTCTTAGGTTGGAAAGGATTAGTAAGTAGACAGGACTTGTAAACTTTGACAAATCCAACGTTCGAGTTGTAAAATAAGCTTATGTTTGAAGGAATGAAATTATGAGGATCCAAATGTCTATTTGCTCTTGATACCTGCTGAATTGATGCCAGTCAAAGTCGACTTTAGACATTTGGCAAGAGATTGGAGCCTTTCAGAATGTTCAAATGATATGATCGTATGAGCAGGAGGAATGAAAATCAAGTACAGATTATTTATTGAAGGAAACTGGTACACCTGAATGTGCTTCTATTTTCATATTAGATGTATATCGTTCAATATTCACGTGAATAACCCATCCTATATTCAGTATTATCTGTTTAAACGCATTATGTCAAGAAATGATCGAGAAATATGTACTAATGAATAAGTGGTTTGAAAAGAACAAATTTTGCCTTCAGAAAACTTCCATTCGTATCCAACACACTAACTATAATATCTCTTTTATTTTAAAAAAATCTATACTCTTTTAGGATTTTCATTTTCGGCCTCGTCACGTTATATATAATTTGGTCCATAGTCTGAAAACTATACCTTGTTGCTATATATTTTTTCCAGTAATAATTTTCCGTAATTGTCCCCCATTTGTTATCAGAGTTTCTGAAATCTGCAAATTTTGGTGAAGGTCATAGTTTCCTGAGTGTTACGGTTTTGCTTTTGTTTCAGAATAATTCTGAAATTTGGAACTCGAAATCCGGCCTAAACAGAAATTTAAACATTAGATGTTGAAGCATGAATGTGACAGCATTCAACAAAACCTTCACAATTTATGAAGTGGATTTCCCTTTTTTTATGCGATGAAAACAGTCTGGGAAAGCCAGAGGTCATGTTGGTTCCCTTGTTTGTATAATTATCGAAGGAATGGATGATATTCGGAATTTTTCCAAAATATTCGTTAATCGTAACGATAATGATAAAACTAAGACAGCTATTAAAGGAATGGTGGAATAATGGATAGCGGAGAAATCGGAGAACCGAGTTCGAATTCCAGTCGAATCCATTTCATTCACTTACGTGGTAATACCCTTGGGAAAGGTATGAAACATTCTTCTTCTTCTTCTTCTTCTTCTTCTTCTTCTTCTTCTTCTTCTTCTTCTTCTTCTCCCCCACCCCACAGCTATAGGTAAATGGCAGACAGAACTGGTTCTATAATCTTGGATGGCAACTGGTCTTCCGCAGAAAGAAATGGCAACGGATTTACAGCAGAAAGAAATGATAACCTACTGCGGAAAAAAAACTGCCTCGTCTGTCATGTATCGAAAGATACATGATCGCCTAAGTGTGTATTACGCATGACTCATAACTGACTACCTACTAAAGGTAACACTAAACAATGCATCATAGGTGTAAAATAAACCTAGCACTTAATTTAAATCAAACAATTAATCCTAAACCGAAATCGATGTCCTAAACATAACTATGAACTTCACCCTAAAACTAAAACTTATTTTAACCCAAGAACTAACCCCAACTCTAATCCTGTTGGGGAAAAGGTTTACAACAACATTTATATTGATATTTAATATTTCCTGTAATTATTCTTGAAATTTTCCATAGCGTTGATGATATTCAGAATTATTTCACAAATTGTTGTTAATATTGATTTTAACGCAGACAGCAACAATAAAACTAAACCAAATTATATACCTCGCTTTAAACTAAACTTAATTTTAAACCTAAAACTAACAGAAACCCTAAAAAACTAAATATACTCTTAACACTAACCTTAAACTTAACACTAACCCTAACACTAAAACTTACTCTAACATAAGCAATAATCATAAACTTAAGAGTAAACCTAAATATAACCATGATTTAAAACTTAATGCTAAAATGGAATATAAAATTAAACCTTATCCCAACGCTAACACTAAATATAGCCTTAACACTAAATATAGCCTTAACACTAATGCCAACGAGAAAAAAAAAATCTTTGCTAACACTAAAACTGATCCTAAGGCAAGAGATAAACCTAACGATAATATGAAAATTAAAACTAACATGAAACACTCGACTCTGTATCTATGTGGATGCCACAACTATTTACTGTTGTCTTAATTTAACTGATACATTCGATAAAGTTACATTGGCAGCTGATTTCTAAAACTAACGTCAATCTGTTGTCGACTGAAGTAAGAAATATTACCTCCACCTTTTAAACGTCCTAAAGAACCCTTTTTTTTACCTTATGTGAACATAGCTAATGCCAACTTTGCGGAGAGGTCAATTGCTAAGTCTGCTGCTAGGAAAGTTGGTTCAGTGCATCTTGAAAAATTATCTTTCTCACCAGAAAACATTTCACTCATTTATAAGTCTACCATTAGTTAATATTGCTATGATATTGCTGTCACATTTGGTCTGGTGCTTCTGCAATGTGTTTCGACATTAAAGACAATATTCAAAGAAGAATCTGCAATATTATCCATCCTCATCTTGTATCTCGGTTATATTCACTTTCCCATTACCTTAGCTTCTCTGTGCTTTTTTCTATAAATATTTTCAAGGTAATTTTTCTCCTGAGAATTACCTCGATTTTACGAAATTAAACGCAGTACTAGGTTAGCAACTATGTTTCATCATTTTATAGTTGAAATTGCTAGATGTAACAATAATTTCGGTGCTGTTTCTTTTCTCTCACTTCTCACTTGTGGAACCCTCTTCCAGCTTCTTGCTTTCTAACTAACTTTGATCTTCAAAATGGAAATACCATGTCAATCGTCATTTATGTCGCTTTAATTTCTAGACTTTTATTGTCCGCTCTCCTTAATAATATTTATATTAGATTTTTTAACACTCAGTAACCACTTGCGTCTTAGTTGCTTTATTTCCTTAAAAAGAAATATCTCGCAAAACTTGAGCACTAAACCAAATATAGCTTTAAAAGTTAAAATAATCCTAGCACATCCTCATATAGTCTAATACTAAAAACAAACTTTAATCTAATACTAAACACAACCATAGAATTAAACACTTAACACTAAATAAACCAATCAACAGAGCTACCCTTCATATTAAGACTAACACTAACACAAAGCTTAACATTAAAAGAAATCATAAAGCTGGCACTAAATGTAGACATAACCGTAAACCTTTCCACGGGTAATAATAAACATTACTGCCACCTTAAAAGAAACTTTAACATAAACCAGAACCTTGACAGTATAAATAACATAACCATAAAATTAAGCCTAACACTAAGCCCAGCTCTAAGACTAACCCTAATCCTACCACTAAATGTAGCAGTGAACTTAGCACCAAACTAAAATTAAAAAACATTAAACCGTAACACGATCGATTTTTCTGATGAGCATTGTCGTAGCGGTTAGCAGCGTTGAAAGTATAATTGTCGCGTCGAGTTTCTTGCTTTTATTTTTGCACATATACTCTTAGAAAAGTAGGATTCTATCACTTCTCTCTTTAGATTGGCTTAATTGCAGAGCAGACTAGAATCTCTAGCATTGATTAGTAGGCAGTCGAGAAAGACAAATCTAAATTAAAAACCGGTTGAACGGGCAATATCATTTTGGACATAAATATTGCATTTCTTGTTCTAGTCTGTGGATTTATTACAGGTCTAATTCTTCTGCATGCTCTTTTCATCAGAATTTGATTAAGTTTTTTTTTATATGACTCATTAGGTTAATTGTCCGATTTACTTCATATTTGTTTGCACTTTCTTAGGAAGTTCTATGAAATGAATTTATTTAGGTCTTTCAGTATATCAGCACAGTTGAATATTAAAATTTATAATCTTGTCAATGTCGAAATCGTATAAGGCTGCCAGCATCTCTATTACAATTCAATCTGGTCCTGTTGATTTATTTCAGTTCAATTTAGGCATTAACAGTTTGACTTAAAAACTTAATATTTCTCTTCGTTCGATATTTCTGTGTATTACCAGTTGTATTCTTTCATTTTGGAAAAGTTCTCCCATGTATTCATTCCATCTCTAAAGTAATTTTCTTTCTCTAATATCAGTTTCCCATCCTTAGATTTTATGCATACTCTATTCTACACAGGAGAGTCTTATGCCACAAAGAAGGAGGAATTTTTCATGCAAAGCTATAACGGCAGCATTAAAAGAAGTGCTGCCTTTTTTAGTTTGACTGTACATATTATATATTTCTTTTTCTTGGGGATTGTTTTTTCGGATTGATCGTTTTGTTAGATTTACTGGAATGATTTGTTTAAAATCATTGTTTTGATTCTTCTGGTTCCGGTCTACGCATCATATTAGAAGGCAAATCAGAGATTTTTTCATGTTTTCTATCAATAAAGAGAGAAGGAATAAAGAAAAAGAATACATTCTGTATTATGTGGCCTTCAAGAGACGTAAATGTGTTGACACTTCAACTCCAAATTACAATGTGTATTAATCGTCTGGTCGTTTTGAAGATGACCCTAAAGCAAAAGGAGATCCATTTTTCTCTTCTTTATTTTTGTTCATATGTTTTTATTCCATTTACTGCTGATTTAATATGCATTTTTATAAAGAACATTTTTACTATTATTGATTCTTCCGAACAAAACTTTGGCAAATACGATCGGATGTCAAGAAATGAAATCTATCCTTCGGGCTTCTGAGATTTTTCAAGCTGATCATTAATATTTGAAGTAGTAGTGCTCATAGTAGTAAAAAGAAGTAGTTGTTATATAATAGTGATTTATCCATTTAAATCCAGTATTTTGACGGCTTAAACATAT